TGTTTATACACAAGCTGCAAACATACCTACTGTTGGTCTCAGCAGAAGCATCAGTATCTCACATAGATTTGTCATGTCTACTCGAATTATCTTCATAACACCCTCTGCTACAGAACTCTTTATCTGGATACATTCCAAATTTCTCAGTTCTTGAACGTCTCCTTTATGGATTAAGACAAGAGACCAACAAATTCTGTTTCTGTTCTTTGGACGTTACATGTAATTTCATTGCATAAAACCAAAATTCATTATTCTCCCAGCATTTCTGAACCTCATGCAGATGGTTGATGTGTTTTCACCAAGCAAGGGCCTGGACCATTTCATTTTTGATACACTAACTGCTGTTTGTGGGCATTCAGACTTCAGAATAGTTTAAAGTGTTGTCTTTCCAACAGCAAGACAACTGTCACATGTACACTGAAAACAACAGTATTGTCCAGAGGTAGTAAACAATATTGATGTGGAGAACTGTCTAGAGAATTGTAGAGTAATGTGCTCTCAGACAAGGTAGCCTGTCAATGCAGCATTGAAATTATTGATCCTTATTACAGCTGTGCAGTATGCAATCTGTCTGAAGACATAGTGCTGTAGTTTATTCCTTTACTTCTGCATCCAGTAATTTTTCTAGCTGAATGCAACTTCTATACACCTGCTGTGTTACATAAGAACTGTGATGGCATCTTGATTGACAGCACTTGGACTCCTGGCAGCTCTTTGAAAGATGCGCACCTTGCATCCATGTAGAAAGAAGAACAAAGACTTCTGTCTTATTAGCTGAAGAGTTTTAAAATTAATGACTGATATTTGTTACCTTTTAAATTTTGTTGCAAGGTTCACTGAAAGGGATGCTGATGTGTGTAAGAGCAAATTACTATCCACAAAACAATGAAATAACACAACTGTCCTATAATATATGAAATAAATTATATAAAAAGAATAATTTTGCATTCCTCTTTTCTTTTAGAGTAACCTTCTATCAGTAATAGAGATGTTGGATAGAAATGTCACTTCTCTTCCTAGATTTGTCCTTTTAAATATCTAGGCTTAGTGTATCTTTTTGTATGTCATCAGAAAAGAAAAGTCTTATGGCCTTTCACCTCTATTTGTTCTAAGAGCAGGAATTGTGAGATCGAACTGACTGACCTATTCACCTTCTCTGCTTTTATAGCAAAGAGATTTTCTGGCCTATTTATGTGGCAGTGTGGTGGCTGTTGTTGCCTGGCAGGATAGTAGTAAAGTATTTGTGATGGAGAGGTCAAACCAAGCCCATAATTCTGGGCTGTTTCCAAAATGCAGAAGCAGTTTATTTTGGCCAGATTTCTGAAGTGGTTACTTGTTACCCAAGGAAAGGGCTCTGGAATTGATTAGCTGCTCACAAAGACTTGGTCTGTGTACGTTTTCCTTAAGAACTAACCATTCATGTTATGTTTTTCTCCATTACTTGCTTTCATTTGCTGTGAACAACATATGCATGTCCAGTTTTGCTGTAAAAATAAAAAGTTCTGTGTACTTTTGTCACAGGTGTATTGCCTTTAAACTGATGCGCTTTTTTTAGCATCTGTTTCAAGTGTGGTATACTTCTCTCCTGTATCTATAATAAACACAAAATGTATGTAGCTTAAAAAGCATCTATGTCCGCTGAGCTGTCCTTTTCAGTTGGGGCTGTTGACAGAGGCAGCAGCTTGGTAGGGAGTGATAATTTTACATGAACAGAGCGAAATGAGTAACATTTTAGAGCAACCAGGAATTTTAGTTCAGCAAAGGAGCACAATACTTCAGTAAGCTTAATATTGACATGGGACATGGCAAAACCAGGACATTACTATTAGATCATGTTTTGTTTACTTGGCCACCCCTGCCTTTTTCAGTTCCTGTATTATTTGCATATTTAGAAATCTCAGGAAAAGCCTTTTGATGCAAAGTAATAAAGTAGTTAGCTGGTACCACAGAGTTGTTTCCTATAAGGTTTTGATTGCTGCTTGACTTTGAGCTCAGTTGAGCCAGAACTCTTAAACCCAATGTTATCAAATGAAACTTGTGACTTTTAGTTCCTAGGTATTTGGGTGTCAGCTTTGGCTGTTTTGAAATGCAGGTGCTCTGCACTTTTTTGAAAACTAGACTGCTAAATTTTGAAATGTAAACTTACTTTTATAGTAATTATGTTTCAAGTTAGGCTTAATTTTTTTCAGTGCACGCTTCACAGTTAATGACACTGTGTTATGGCAGCATGATCTTCTTGTAGATTTTCCAGCAAAATAATTTGTATCAATACAAACGGAAGGCATGTGCTTTTGAAACTACACAATACCCCAATGTTGGGACTTTGAAGAGCACAGAGATGTGTGTACACTCATGAGTGATTGGGCCCTCCCTGTCCTTTCTAAACGTTTCTGTTTGCTTCTTGCTGATGCCTTGAGAGTTACGTGGAGCCTGTTCTCAGGAGGATCTTCCTCTAAGATGTTTGCACATGACAAGTAGTCTGGCATCCTGGTGAGGTACTCTGTTCATTTGTTCATAGTCCTGCACAAGAGTCTAGGTACTGGCTTAATGTATTTCCACTACTGATAGACCAACAGTATGTTTTCAATATGTAAAATATGTTTGTTTTCTCTGGCTTTTAACACAGTTACTTCAGAGCAGGGTGAGTGCAAGCAGGATTAATACTGTGTGAATGCAGAGTCTTGGTGAGATAACAAAAGATGGACATTTAATTGGAAACTGACTCATTTGTCATATATTTGAAAGGGCATGGGAAGAAATCAGAATTGAAATAGCACAGCAGACCCTTACTTATTAGCCAAAGGGACGAGGAAAGATCTTATCCAGCAAGGCTCCAAAAGACTGCATTACATTTTAGTTACTGACAGGAAGTGATTTTCTTAAACCAAAATTTCAAAGTGAAGATGGGCTTGAAGGTTACTCAAGTGTGAAGCTTGTTCATGCAATGTGACTAACAAATATTCTGTAAATATTTACACCGGTTTAATTTTGTCTTAAACTCCAGTATCCTGAAACTAATTGGTTCTTTAAAAAAGAATGTGGAATGTGGGCAAATTCTTTCACTAACAAGAAGTTTTTCTCCCTTGTATGTTATACAAGTTGACTATTCCCATACATATGCATACATGTACCTATGTGTATACGTTTATTCTTCTTTTAATTATTTGTGGAAATGACAATCTACTTGTTATATTTTTATTTTTCATTCCTTAGAAGCAGAGTAATTAATCACCAGACCAGAAATCAGTGTTAGGCTTTGGTTGGCTTCCTCCTAAACCTTTTAAAATTCCCTCTTGTTCCATGGAATTTCATTTTCAGGCATGGCCAATGTCATCCTGAAACGCTGCTTAGAAGAAATGAGAAACCAAACAGCCAAGAGTCACAGAATAACTGAGTCCTAGATTATTATTTTTTTTTTACTTATGTCTTGATGTGTGAGAACTGTTTATCATTTTCAGGGAAACTCATTGCTGCATTTTCCATTTCCAAAATGAATTCATTTAGAGAACTAGTGAGCTTGTTTCTAAGAAAAATATTTTGATAGTCCATCTCCAGTGCTTAACTCTGTCAATCTCTATTTCTGCTTTCAGCTTTTTAATAACTTCCTACTCCATATAGCATTCCTATTCCAACCCCCCCAGTTCACTGTTTTCAGTTTCAGATATTTGTACGCTATTATGCCCTCTCACAACCAAATGTTTCTCAAGCTATTAATTATTGTTATTTGTTCGTTTTTTTTTTCTTTTTACTGGCTAAATTCAGCTTTCATCTCACTTATTACAATAGTACTGCTAATATTGCCTTAATTAAGACAGGGCTATAACTCACTGTTATAGCAGTCTCTTTACAGAAAAAAATAAAACCAAAATGGACTACAGTTTTGAACTGAAATTCTCAACTTTTTATAAATAAAATGAGTCTTCAGAAATGTAGAGAAAATATGACTAATAACCATGCTTCAGAGTGTATTCTGAGCTCTAGGAACAATAACCAGTGTAAGACATCAACTGTCTTTACCTGAATTTAGAAAACATTAAATTTTGCAGTTATATGGATTTTTGTTTTCTATTACAATATATTTGAGATTAAAAATCTAGTAAATTTACATCACAGAATGAAAAATTGTTGGTTACTGTTGAGACATTATATTGTCCACTTATCCCTGGCAAGTATTATTCCAAGTAGCTAGGTTTACTTTTTTTGTTGTTATGCATATGTTTTTCATTATGCTTCAGCAATTTTTTTTTTTGACTGCAGCTTATTTAAGGATGCTTCCCATTTGATGGGTGTCTGCTTCCCTCCCAGGTTGAGTAGTATTTTGTCACACACGCAGGCACTTCACTCCTTCAGCCAGAATGTTTCACTGTGAAAGTCTAGTTGGGTTTTTTTTTTCTTTAAAAAAAAAAGCTCTAAAATCCATTCTGTTTGCTACCAGGCAAAAATTAGTGTTTGTTTTCCACCAAACAGATAACGTGTAGCTTTGTTGAAATGGCAGGCCACACAGAGTTTGACAACTGAAAGATTTCAGTCTGACTCACAGCAGTATTTAACTGACAAAGACACTCAGTTGATCCAAAAATCCTAATGTCCATACATTGCATGAAATGTACTTTTGATGTATTGCATGTACGTATATCTAAGAGTCAATAGTCTGACTTGTAAAGACATTTCATGAAGATGCTTTACAATGACAAGGTTTCAATTATATTTCTGTCTTTGGTTAAAGTTCTGTTACGGTTCTCTTAAACAGCTTGCTGTATTTCTATAAATAGCTAGGAATAAAAGTAATGCTCAAAATGTCTTTGCTAGTTTTTCATTAAAAATTTCAAAATTTTGTATGGCAAAATGTCTTTGAAAACTATGTGCTTTTTAAAGGGGAAGAGAGATAAACAGCGGTATAGATGGACTTATGTATAATTAGCAATATCATAGCTAGGTTAATTTGCTTTACTTATTTTTCATGATTGCATTTCTTGCTTTTTCTCTGAATCCCTCATCAGAGATTGACATTGAGCGTTGTGTTCGTGAATCAATCAACCTGTTTCGCTGGACCCCAAAGAGTGCAACATACAGGCAATATGCACAGCCTCCACGGCAAGCCAGTGAGAGCAATGGCACAAAAAGTTCAGTGTCCTGCTTTTCAGCAGACTATCAGGAAGCACCTCGAAGTGACCTAGTAAGTGACCTGGGAACTGGAGGGGGGGGAGAATTGTTCAGATTGTGTGTTTTTCCTGCCCCAGGTGGGGGTTTTTTCTCTTAAAATTTAGACCGAAAAATACCCACCAAAACTCAGTTACTAACATATCTGTTGTCACATTCAAGCACAGGGGTTTGACACATTCATCGGATGTTCTGGTTTGCTTGTCATCTGGTGCACAGTGTTAGAGCCTATGCCATATTATTAATTTTGATGAACAGTCCAATGCAGTGAATTAAAAATATCTGGGAGGTTGTTGGGGTTTGAGGTTTTTTTAACTTTACTGCTTTGAACTTCAGATTCTTTGATGTACATGCCAATAAAATCGCTACTTCTTGTGCTGGATTTCTGCCTCTCCCAACTCCTGCCTCTTCAGTTCTGTGGTGTTTGTTACCACAACAGACCAATGTCCATGACTCACCTGCAGAACTACAAACAGGCTTTATCTTAGGAGAAAAATACTGAAAAGAACAGTTTGCCAGTGAGAAGCAGGTAACTGGGAAGTGATGCAGGCAGCTCTGGCTGCTTTTTCGATCTTGGCGTGTTAGGTTAAAGGTATGGTTGAAGTTTTTTTGAGAGGTAGTATGCAAGTCACGTCTGTGTTTGTCTTGGCAAAGAATAACTAGTGGCTAAGAGTATATCTTCATTAAATAGATACTCAATTCAGCAAAAATATTTTTCTGTTCTCTCTCCAGTAAAACCTGATGGTTGTTTCCCTTGTCAAATACACCATCTGAAGAGTAGTGATTTGAAATTATTCCTTTCCTTCCTCTCAGCAGTATAAATCTAGGCAGTCTCTTAAAAATTAAACAGTCTTGCTTTTTTTCCTTTCACATTCTCCTACAATCAGAATTCATTCACAAGTAGGTTACAAGAATAGGGGAAGGATATATAGACCTGCCATATCTATTTGATCAATTGCATTAGGTTTTAGTCTTTCCATTTCTTGTTCCTAACTACGAAGCAGTGTATTGCTGCTCAGGTGTATCTTAACTTTTTAAGTAAGTCCTTAACCTGAGTGTGATAATCAGTTGTTTTCTTGATTTTTACTTTAGATTTGATTTTATTTCTATTGCTGTATTTTCTAGAAGCCACAGCCACAAATGCAGGACACTGAGTGCTAGATAGGCAGTTGCAAAACAAAATGAAACTCCAGAAAGCTTACGGAGTTTAAGAAATAATAAGTAGATGTAGAAAAGCATCTGGGAAGAAAAGTAATAGGAGAGTATTGGTGGTTGTTATACAGGAATTGTAGCCAACACAACTGCTGCTGTGCTGTTGTAGAGATATGTAGAGAAACTTCCTGAAAGAGCTTAGGGCTGCGCACTCATAGAGTAATTCAGATAGGACCTTAGGAAGTCATCTGGTACAAATTCCTGCAGAAAACCGACCCAACACTGAATTCATGTGGGGTTGCCCAGGGCTTTGTTCTGTCAGGTCATGAAAGCTTCCAAGATTATGCAGTCTCTCTTGGCAGCCTGACAGTGCTAACAGTGAAAATGTTTTTGTGTATTGTGCTAGCTTTTCTTAATGTTACGATGACAAGAGAGGAAAAAGACAAGTCTTCTCAGACCTAAGGATGTGCTTGTGCCTTTCTGTGTCCAAGCACGAGTGAAGGGACTTGGAAAAGCAAGGAAGGCCACAGTAGAAAACAAGTGTCTACTGAACAAAGATTTATATTTGTAGCAGAAATAAAAAACCATTCTTTTGGGTTAAGTTTCTTTCAATGTAATTTCATTTCCTGAGAATTATTTTTTTTTTATGGATAGCAATTTTATTTTCATACCAGAAGTTGGGTTTGTTTGTAATGCCAGTAACTAGGCTCATCTATCCCACAATTTCCAAGAAATTAAGCAAATGGTTTTGGTATGTTACAGAGAAGAAAAATAAATACCGTAACTTCTGTTGCCTTCTCTTTCATTTCTACTTAACAGCAAAGCACTTTTCATTTACTGTAGTGTAACTGATGGTTTAACTACTTTTGAAGCTCAAGTGTATTGAATATTTTGGGTGCTGCTGTAGGGGGGGGGTTTAGCTCATCATATGGAGCAGCACTATGTGATTTATACAGAAATATGTGAACATATTCAGGCTCTTTGTGTGGCAAAAGAGGAAACTGATCTCATGGACACCTGAATGACAAGGAAGTCGATTCACATGTTAAGTTACAGTCTACAAATATGTTTGCTCTCATGTGCTGTTTTTTTGTATGAGAGATTTTGAGATAGATGTATACAAGCCAAGCACATTTATGGTTCTGTCAGGAGCCATAGTTCAGACTTGAAGATCCTGTGTAACATGATCCACTAATGAGCTACCTCTCACTTGTGACCATTTTATTGTGGTAAAATACACTAATTACACCCAAAGGTGTTGTGGTTTGGTTTTTTAACCTTAATCCTGGAACTAGCTATCTCTTTCTTGAAATGTGTACCCTACTGGTGTTTGCTGCCATGGGGAAACATTTTTCTACTTGAAAAGCATGGAATCTGAGTTTATTCTTTTGTACACACAGTAGCCTTTAGTGGATTTTCTAAAACACCGTTGTGTCCTTGGTGGTTCAGTCTAGCTCTTAAAAAATGACTTTGCTGTTTTCCCACCTATTTAGTTGGGCATTATTTGAACAAACACTTTGCACTACTTCTGCATCTCCAATTTTGTATTTGTGGGTCATCTCTGTAGTTGAGGGTGGGGAGGGTAGGAAACAATTCCTTTGTCAACAAAGCTGTGGGTTTGCTTCTGAAGGTAGTTTATGACTTCTTGAAACATTGTTTAGTGTATTTAATTCTAAACACCATCTGTCTCCTAATCCTATATTTGTATTTTCTTTTTAAGATGCTTCAGTTTGTTTCTTAAGAGTTTTTTATTGGATATTCAAATATTTGTGTGTATCTGCATGTTATGGTTCTTTGGTTAATAATAACAGAAGTACTTGCCCCTGGGTGAGCACTTTTCTCCCTAAATCAGCAGCCAGTAAAACAAAACTATTTTGATTCTTTTTATCACTTAGCATTGCTTAGTTTTCATTTTAGTGACATCTGTTTGCATAAAGAGGCTTGTGTGCTCTCTTCCTTCTTGGACTTGTGTGTTGCTTAATCTTCTATCTTTTAGCCAGTAAGCATATTTCTACTGAGATAAAATCTCAAGGAGGAAATAGTTTCAGAGGGAGCCTTAAGTGGGTTTGTGTGTTTATTTTGAGAAAGATAAAATGTCAAAACTAAGAACAGAAAAACTCCTTTAGATTCACTGCTAAATTTTCGTAGCAGTCTACTGAAATTCGTGTCTCTAATTTTTTATTGACCAGTACACAGAGACAAGTAACACTTGCCATGTAACAATTTTTTGCTATGCCTGTATCTCCCTTATAGACATGGTAGGTGTTTGCACTCTCCAGCTACCTGTACACTTCTAAATGAAAGTGAGAGAATGATGCAGTTATATTTATGAATATCTGCTTAGGTGTGACAGGGGACTCCCAGAAATCCCGGGGCTGATACAATTAGACCTTGTCATTGTTTTCTACCATCAATCCTCTTTTCAGTGGTGGGAGTTCCTGATGAATATTGGGGAGTGAAAGCATTCAACTGGAGAAAAGTCTACCAGATGATTATTGACCCATGCACTGATCTAAATACCACTGGTCCAATTCAGCTTTTCTTTTTTGATGCAGTAGGAGAAATACCAAAGGGGGAAGATGACTAATGGTTTGATGAAACAGTACAAACATGAAAAACATTTGTTTTTATCAAAAATAATATGAGCAAAGTTTTCTTATGGTAAGTTTTCTTTGCAGATAATCAAGAATAGGTTGTGTGAGAGACTTCTTACATATGGGAATTCGGGCCTATTTGCAATAAGCATGTTAGCACTCAGTTGCTTTTACTTTACTGTATGCACCTAGGATATATTTGTCTATATCAGATGTATTGCTTAGGTTTATGTTAAGCCCTTTACTAACTGATGTGTAAAGTCAGTCTATTCTTCTAAAAGAAACATAATGAGTAGTGTCCACCAACATTTTTGTTTCAGGGTACAAGCAGGGATATGTCCAAGTGCACTGTCAGTGCTGTTCATAATGACTTATGTTATTCTGCCTCAAGGGTCTTCTGATTGCCTTGACCCTTTTCAGGTTTGTTTTGTGTTCTGGTTTTGTAGGGAACTTGCTTTTGTTTTCTTATTTCATTGTGCTACTACTCAACAGAAAGCTGTTCCTAAAATTCATCTTTAGTTCATGTTGTGCAGCACATTAACTGATCAAGATCTGAGTTAATGTTTCTGATTTATTTTACATGTACCTTTGATGCTTCTGTTTTTCTGATTGTAGCTGCTAACAGCTCAAGTGAGCAGTTGTGTTTGTCGTTTTTCAGAAGAGTTGGTTAAAACACACTTTTTGTGTCACTCTCCTGTGAGTGAATAAACACTGTTTAATTAGGCACGTCGTAAGCCTATCACATTCTGACAAATATTTTTGTGAAATGTTGAAATCTTCAAAACTTTCTCTGTTTATTTGTTAGCTTTTCAAAGGTTTTTTGATACTCATAAGCCAGTCAATCAACATCTAGAAAATGGGGAGTGTAAGGAACACTACTTCTAGTGCTTTGGTTTTGCAGATTAAATAAGCTGAAGGAAGCCTTTTTTTAGCACTTGCTTTACTCTGCTTGTTTTTAAAAATAAGAATATGTTTTCTTACAGTTTATTACTTCTTCTGATAGAAAATAAGGCATTCAGTTACCAGAGTGGATAAAACAAGCAGTACATGACTTAGGAAATAACTGATGTTAAACATTAATTTAAGAGTCTCTAATTGAATGTTGTGGTTGTTTTCAAGTTGTAATATAAATAGCAATTATATTAATTGAATATAAACTCATTGGAACAAATATGCTCTGTTTTTTCTTAGTTGAGACAAAATTAAAGGAGTATGTTTATAATAATATAAATATTTATATGAGACTTCAGTAGTTTGTTAGACACTCAGA